AATAAACCCATCCATGTATGAACTGGAACCCTAGTAACAATCCTTTCTTACTTGCATGTGAGCTGTCCAGCTCTGTGCCACTAGCTGGCTTAGAGGGCACCATAACTCTCTTACCCCTACAACTTCTTTTCTGCCAAAATGTGTAAAATCATTAGCGGGCCATACAAAATAATCAACTTAAAAATTCGCCTGTTATATTTGATCACACATTTAATTATCTCACACCTAATGTGATGGCTGGAACTGCAGCCGCCTTGGCAAGGCCAGACCAATCGATTTTGAGGACCTTATAAGGCCCCCGGGTGAATGTCCCCCTCCTGCCGGCCCTACAATGTTCATCACATTGGGGTCATTGTATTGACGGTTCCTGAAGAAGAGCAGATGCCTTAGTAACATGCATGTGAGTCAGAAGTAGGAGATAAATCACAGGAAAACACAAAGGTCTTCCACTCAATAAAATTCCTGGGGTGGAGAATCTGGTGCCTTCAGAGTATTTCCTCTACAACGTAGGACAATCATTGCATTTTGAACCCTTGACCACTAAGGTCCATTGCAATCTATGCCATTTTTTAGTATCTTGCTCCCTACCCCCACTCCCCCCTATTTATTGACTGAACCAGAAGGCTGCCAGCTCTGGGTTAGGCCTAAAACAAGTGAAGGCTGTCTGGGAAAGTCTAGGACAAATGTCTCTGCCACCAGGCTCCTGACCCGGCAGAACCAATGGTTCTTGAGGTATTTATCTGTCTGTGGTAGACTAGACTGGTGAGTTATGTGGAGCTGTGTGGTAGTGAGGAATGCTGTATGGAGCACATGGATAATCCTGAGAAGAAAAACGCAATAGGGAAATGTAGGGTTTGGAGTAAAGTGATGCTTTGGACAAGTAACTACTAGTCTTTGAAAACCAACCTCTGACTTGTCCCTGGGATCTGGAGAAGCCTAAATGCTTGGTTACAGTCATGCTGTCCCCCATGAACTGGGGTTAACTGATCCACCTAGCCATAAAGAAGCACCCCATCGTGAGTGGACAGGGATACTCCATGACAGGTCTAGGGCAGGCTCTAAAGGCACAGCCTCCTGCAACGTTACTGCTGCCGGATTTCTGAGCTTCCCTCATTATACATCTATGGCTTTACAGGGAGCAGAAGTGTCTTCACTAGTATGGATCCCAGAGCCCTGGTGTGGTGCTGTAGGATAAGCACTGGACTGCTGACCACAAGGTCGGAAGTTCAATTCCACCCGCTGCTCTTGGAAACCCTATATAAGGTTGTTATAAGTTGAAATAGACTCAACAACAAAGAACAACAGTATGGACCCTCGGTTTGCATTTGGATTAAATTCCCTTACCTCTTCCATGATTAATATCTATGGAATTATACAAGGTCCTAAATATCATTATGTTGTTGTTGTTGCTATATCCCATCAAGTTGCTTCCAACTCATTGTGACCCTGTGTAGGGTTTCCGAGGAATAGCTGATGAGTTTGAACTGCTGATCTTGTAGTTCAAACTGACCTTGCTGTTGAGTGCTTATCCTATAGCACCACACCAGGACCCCAAGTATCATTATGGCACCCCTTTATATTGTCTTCAACTAAAGAACTCATGTTACCTCAAAAGTAAGGTAATGGGTTGTTGCCTATAGTGTTCACTTGTTTTGTGAGGATCTCCACAAACCAGCAGAAGTTGGTCTGGTAGATGGTGAAATGGTTTCTTGGAAACGCAGCTATGATACTGCTGAGAAATAACACCTTGTGAGGTTAAGTCCTGAAATGGTGATTGATAGCAACCTACACCATTGCTGTTGGGTCAATTCCAACTCATGGTCATCCCCCGAGTCAGGATAGAAGTGTGTTCCCAAATGTGCTCCCAATGACTGACTTTTCAAAAGTAGACCATCAGACCTCATGTCCAAGGTGCCTCTGGGTTCCACCTGCCACCTTTCAGTTAATCAGCTGACCATGTCGACTGTTTGTCCTTGTAGGAACATTTCTCCTACAGGACTAGGAAGCAGTGTGGATGTGGATGAGGTATCACTGTATGTGATGACCTGTCCTTAATACTCTTCTCATATCTAAAGTTTGGGAGTAGCTGGTGTGGAGATTTTAATCTTTGGGGTAAAAACACATCACAAAAAGAATATGATGACTGAACTGAATTGGGAGTTGAAGCCATCACCTACCTGGCCTCTTAGGTCCTTATATCTCTGAGTGGTGAGTACTGAGAGATTATGGAAGAAACTAACCCTAGAAAGGCAAACATGGTTGCAGCTACATAAAAGGGAGCAAGAGTACAACTAGAAGCTGGGGTATTTCCTGGAATGCCTCCTTGCACCGCCATGTCCAGAGAAAAGGCAGGACCACCAAGGAGCCAGACTTCAGAATTGAAGATATAGGTCACTCCAACAAGGCAAGCACTCTCTAGTTATAAATAAACACCAATCCTCATAGAAATGGACTCTATCTTTAACCCATATCTCATTGTGTGTTGGGTTATATCATTTCAAGTTGAATATGGTTAATTGTATTGGTTAATCCACAGGTTGTAGAATTTCAAAACAGGCTTACAATCAAAACTAAAAGAGGAAAGAGTATCACTAGAGATACTGGATGTAGAGAATGGTAGCCTTGGATCCTTATCCCTGGACTAGCAGCTGTCCCTCTCTAAACAGTGATGAATTTGCATGGGGTTGTATTTGGGAGAATTGTAATATATCAGATGGGAAGACTGAAGTACATGCACATGTATGTGCTTGTGTGTATCAGGGGTATCTTTTGGTTTTGCCCAGCTAGCCCTTTATGCCCTCCCATTCTCCACCATTCTTTTGGTAAGAACCCCCCCATCTGTGGAGAAATTGCCTCTCTCCCAGTTCATTATATCTTGAGTTCCAGGTCAGATTCTCTTACTGAGAATTTGAAACTTGAGTAGAGGGAGACCCTTGGATTGGTTTGGATCTGCCAACACCAGCTACCCTTGACTCCCACCCTTCCCAAGGCCAACTGTTTAGCTATTCCTTTAATTACTCCAGTATCCTTCCCATGAATCCTCTTCTTGGATTAAGTTAGTCCAAGTCAATTTCTGTTGCTCAAAACCCAAGAACCCTAATGCGTATACAGTCTCAGCTGAAGCTGCCTCATACAGCTTTGCCTCCCATCAGGTACCAGCCCAGGTCTGACATAACGTAGATGTTCATCATGTACTTGCTGAATGGTATTTGAATGAACAATAGCCAGCTCTCAGTTCACCAAAGAGGTCTGGGTATTCAGGCTGGGAGTAGGGGGAATGGGGTGAAAATCAGCTGAGTACCAGAGAAAGGAGAAAAGTCAGAAATGACCAACGGAAGGGGTAAGGAAAGGACCTGGGTGATGGAGGGTGGGGTGGGGGGAGACGGAGGCACAGGAGTAACAAGGGAAACCTCTCTGCATTTGAGAAGCTGGAGATGGTCAGTGAATAGCTGGGGAGCTGAACTGATGGTCTCCTGGATGGTCTTGCTACAATGGAAACAGGGAAATCCCCAGATCCCCCGGTCCTGCTCTGCTCTGCTCCTTTCTGACTCCTTCCTTTGTGGTCCTATCCCAAATGAAGGAGTATACATTCCAAGATACCCTGCTAAGGGGCATAAGCCTTTAGCCCAGTTGTGTAGGAAGCAAAGGTTGTCTAGCTGTAGCCACCAGTGGCTGAGACTGAGCTTCAGCCTGGGAGCCAGAACATGGATTCAGTTTTCCAAGGGACTCAGAAACTGTAGGCTGCCCTCGGAGAATCTGTCTGAAGACATGGAACCCTGACACCTACACACCTTCAACCACACCAGATAAGGGCAAGTAGGGTACACAGTTGCTGCCTTTATTGCATTCCAAGGGGAGGAGGCGAACTCCAGACCCAACCCATCCCCAGCTTCAAGAAGGGACGCTCAGTTAGGGTCCTGGATGCTGGTGAAGCAAAGTAATTCCTTGGGAGTCCATACCTGAGAGCCCCAGGATCAGGAGCCAATGGTTGGTGGCAGGGGTCCTAGTTCCCACCCAACTACAGCCTTCCTCATGGGGAAGAATCCCAGCCCTCTACCATGTGGAAAGGGGAAATGAAATTCACTGTGACCCAACCTCCTTTCTGTATGGAGCACAAGGTCCCTGAAAAGCAATACCTTCCCTCTGGCCACAGCCCCCACCCCATGGGCAAAGAGCTCAGAAGTAGGGGAAAGTATACTGGGATAGAGGAATAGGCCAGAGGTTCAGCTCCTCTCCTGGGTATTGGTGAGCAAGTTGGGAGTCAGGGTGAGGGTAATCCTCAGGAAGGATCAGAGGAGGGCAGGCAGCGGGCTGCAACTGGGATCAAAGCTAGGGATGTGCAGGGGGTATGGGAAGCAGGTTAGTGAGTGTTCTGAATGAAGCGAGAGCAAGAACACACATCATCAAAGACCACTGCATAAGGACATGACAGGCTCTGGAAGGACCCTGAGCCCCCATCTGGGCTGAGGGCAGGTTAATTGCAGAGTAAGCTGGGATGCATGAGGCAAAGTAGCTGGAAGGAAAAGAGACCCTGAGAGTCACTAGGCCAGACATGACAGAGGGGATCTGGAGCCCTGAGACAGGAAGGGGGAAGGAGCTGGGTCCAATAAGGGTGACAAGGGGGATGCTGGCCTGCAATATTCTCTGCAGGGTTTGTCTAGGGGCAGGGGTGGGTGCAGAACTCATGCAGAGGACTCTGGGAGCCTCCAGCAGTGGCGAGTGTAAACTTCAAGGAGGGCCCAGGCCACCAGGCACTTGGAGGTGGGGCCACTCAAGACCTGAGAGCCCTGGGGGATGGGTGGCACCAGGAAAGGCTGGTGGGCAGTGTGCCACAGCCATCTGAGAAGTAGCTGACTGAGGAGAGGCTGCTCAGAGGGGTCCCCAAGCGGTGCCTCCTCAGTGCACTGTCTCCAGTTCCATATTGAGAAAGTCTCCATTGGGTTCAAGCTGCTTCCTGGTTGGTCTGCTGCTGGCTGGAGGCCCCCAGCCTCCTGTGGGGGCTACCGCATGCCCTGAGCCTTGGAACCCCCTTCTTGGGTAGCAGACTGTCCCAGTAACCGGGTAGTGACAGCCTCTGAGGCCTGAGCTGTGGCCTTGGAACTTGGGGCACTCTTGCGGTTGCCCTGAGGACTGTGCAGGCCTTTCTTCTGGGGCTGAGGACTCAGCTGGGCACCCTTCCTGCCGGAAGATGGACTCTTGGAGCCTTTGGCCTTGGCCTGGGCCTGAACAGCCTCAGGGCCCTTGAGGGCTTTCAGACCCAACATCTCACAGTAGGCGTTGCACTGGTGCATGGAAACAAACTGGTCCAGCAGGGCAGGGAAACAGCTCTCCTTGAGGCCTTGGTATCTGTGCCAAACAGTGAGAACTGAGGCCCGAGGAGTGCACTTGACACCCTGACCCAGAGCAGGAGCAAAATGCATCTCGGGGGGTGGCAACACATGGAATTCACCATGTGGGGCATTCATTGGTGTGATGATGATTGACCTTTTAAATATTAAGTAAAACAGCCTCAAGGTCATGAAGATCTTGTTCATCTGCATTCTGGTGGGCTTTCTCAGGTGAGAAGGAAGTGGGGAGGAGGTACACTGAGAACCCAAGACTGCAAGTGACACTGTGTGTGGGGCCTTGACCTTGGACCATAGTACTCAGGCCAATTAGTTACTAGTAGGGCCATGACACAGAGGGTGGGGATCGATGATCCCCAGGAAGTTTCCACATGGCTGTCAGTGTGACAGGGACCATTTGGCCCCAGGGTCAGCACTTCAAGGATGAGGAACCAGTCGTTTTCATCCTGAGAGGACTCTCCAAGGGTATTCTGTCCCCAAGAACCACTCACCCTCGAAGTTTGGTGGCAATCTGCACATCAGTCATCTTCCAGTCAATCCCTGAAAAGAGACAAAGTATGAGGTTGATGCCTGTGAGTGTCTCTCAGTCCAGCCTGGATCCAGGGACAGACATGACTTTAGATGGGAATATCCCAGGTTCCAAGGTACTTCTTCAGACACCTCTTCGCTAGGACACCACCACCAGCCTATCTCAGAGGCAGTGTGGGTATCGCTGTATTATTAGTAATACTAATAAGGTGAGGAGATGGGTTAAGAGCTAAATGACTTGAGCAAAATCCATTGATTCTTTGTTCAGTAACTGAGCACTGACTATCTGCAATAACCCATCATTGTGAGTCAAGGTAAAAGTTCAGCTTTTCTGACTCCCGGATCCTTTCAGCCATGTGAATTGGTTCAGACCACAGGTTGGGGTGGGCTATGACATTGAGCTAAATATTCCTCCTTCCTCCTAAAAGATTTGTTTTATCCAGTCATGAAAGCGAAGGTGGGAATGTGAGGATAAATCTGGACTGGATCTGTGTGAATGTAAGACTGGCTAAGACAGCTTCTACGCGATCATAAAGACACACAGTGTTGGGGACCACAAGCATTGAGATGTTGAGGCCCTGTGCCATGGACAAAAATCCTACACGATGGCCCCCTCAGGATGGCTAGCCAGGGACCCTGAGAGCCAAAGGAAGTGACCTCCTGATGTCCCGGGTTCATTGGTTTTTGCGAACTCACTGGTGGGCTTCCTTTGTATAATTTTCTTTGGTCTTATTATTCATTCTATGATTCTAACTCCAGTAATTGTAGCTTCTGAGAAAATGGTTTCTTATGTGCCTCTCTTAATGTCTCCACTGTGTTGGCAGTGCGTAGGGTCCCAGAAACAAATCTCTCTGAGGAACAAGCTCTGACCACCTGGCAAGCATGTCCAAACTGCTCTTTATCAAGTTATTCAGTTATGTTTGATATTAACTTAATACATGAGCTCTTGATGTCCATGCACCATATTAAAACCAAAACCCTTTCTAAAGCCGAGGCCATAAAAGTTCCAAAGGCAAGTTTGCTGGGATTACACAAAGAGGCTCTGGAAAGAATTCGCCCAAAGTAGTCACTTAAAGTAGATTGGTAAATTCTGGGAGTATTGTTCAAGGAATAATAGTAGCAGCCCCTTCAAACTGTCCCCAGGTGTAAACCATTAACCCAGACGTTTTCGTTCCTCCTGAAAGCTTAAGCCAGGTAGCTGAAACAGCTTGACTCTTCAGACCTTTTAAATCCTTTTCACCTTTACCCATTAGAGATTAAGTGCTATAGGTATGTCAATTAGCGTTGAGAAACCTCAAGTCGCTGCCTTAGGATTTGAGCCAAAAAGGTAATTTATAATAGTTTGCTTGAATTTTTGGAAAATTAAGAATGTTAGATTATTTAGACAATTTGTGATGTATATTTTAGAATTTGTTCCTGTAAATCATTGTGTCCTGTTTTGAATGATTAATCACATTTCATTTCTGTACCCTGTCTTAATAAACCCCTTCTTCCTTTGTGTAAAATCCCTCCCTGAAATAAAAGATGGATGCAGATTGAATCCTGCATGCATTACTGCTTGCAGGGCCAAGCTTTACAGCTATGCTGCTTGCCATGCAAGGTCTGTCTGCCAGTTTTGCATCCACTCTGGTCTCGGGGTTGTCTCTTTGTTTCTCTCGTCACGTCTTTGTGTATATTCTTTCTCTATCTCTTTCGCCGCCAGATCTCCCTACTTCGTGAACCAAACATCCCTGTCTAGACAGGTCCCTGACAACACAGCACACCCAGAAGTCAAGATGGCCTTCTGCACTGAGACACCTTTGGAAGAACAGAGCCAGGCAAAATGGCAGAGGAAAAATTTCTCCACCCTGGTTAGTCCACCAAAGAATCTCAGCAGTCATGCGTTAAACTTGTGGCCCTCCTTTCCCACTTCTATGCTAGGGCTCTTCTAGGAGGTTGCCTTTCACTATCAGGCCTAAGTAGCATAACCTGATAGAGTAGAACAATGATAGCATTTAGAATTACATCACTTTGGTGTGAACACGGCAATGCACTTACGATCTCTAATCCTCAACTGTAAGAGTAGGGATAATAATGACCATTTAACAAGGCAGTGGAGAAGATCACAAATACACGTAGGACTTTTACCTAGGGCTTGAAACATAGTACATATATAGTAAATGTTAGTTTCTTTGTTGGGTCTCTTTCAGCATTTATCACATCCCATCTTGCATGTTTATAATGACAATCCCTTATACTTGCGCAGAATTTGATACTTCTCACAAGTTTTTTACAAATATGGTCTCAATTGATCATCATAACAAGCCAGGGAGATAGGTAGAAAAGATATCATTATTCTTGCAGATGGAAAGGAAACTGAAGCTTGGAGATATTAAATAACCCAGCCTGCCTCTGGCTTTAGTTTTCTTCTCTGTAAAACAGAGACCCAGCTAGAAAATGATGAGGCCTAGACTTAAATCAGTGGAGTCCTGTGTGGCACTGTAGGAAAAGCACTGGATTGTTAACCTAAAGGTCAGAAGTTCAAATCCACCAATGGCTCTTTGAAAATCCTATACAGGGTCAGAACCAACTCAACAAAGACTTAAGTTAGATTTCTTTGACTCTAAAATCTTCCTGCTATACCGTATTATCATCTCATTACAGAAATTGGTTTACTTCTCACCACGACTGAGGGTAGAGACTGTTGTATTTCATCTTTATGTTTACCCAATATTTTCCAATATTCAATATAAAGACTGAAGTTGTCAAAGACTTCATTTTGTTCGAATCAACCATCAACACTCATGGAAGTAGCAGTCAAGAAATCAAATGATGTATTGAATTAGGCAAATCTGCTACATACTTTAAAGTGTTTGAAGTGTTGAAGAGCAAAGATGTCAGTTTGAGGACTAAAGGTGCACCTGACCCAAACCATGGTATTTTCAATAACCTCACATGCATGCACAACTTGGGCAGTGAATAAGAAGGCCATAGAAAAATTGATGTATTTGGGTTATGGTGTTGGAGGAGCGTACTGAAAGTACCATGGACTGCCAGAAGAACAAACTAATCTGTGTTAGAAGAAGTACAGCCAGAATGCTCCCTGGAAGCCAGTATGACCAGACTTTGTCTCTCATACTTTGGACATATTATCAGGAGGGACCAGTCCCTGGAGAAGGACATCATGCTTGGTAAAGTGGAGGGTAGCAAAAAAGAGGAAGACCCCCAATGAGATGGATTCACATAATGGCAGCAGCAATGGGCTCATATGTGGCAATGATTGTGAGGTTGGCGCAGGACTGGGCAATGTTTCATTCTGCTGTACATAATGTGGCTATGAGTCAGTACAAACTCAATAGCACCTAACAATGACAAATATTTAGTAAATGTTTGATGGATGGATAAATAGGCAGGTAGATGGAAGGAAGCATGAATTTATGAGTTAATGGAGTGATTGATAATGGCTTAATTTGTTACCTAGCCTCTCCCACTCCAAACTATATGGGATTATCTATATGATATTTATTGCAAAACTTAACTCCACAGAAAAGCACATTTGAGTCCGTTGTCTATCGTTGGCTCATCGTCTTCTCAACTATTTATATCAAGGGTAAAATGTAATGATGTGGGATACTCCCAACCTTCCTGCCCTCCCAGTATAGGGAGAATTTGGTCTTTTCCTCTCGCCTTCACAGTTCTGGCTAAAGAGAACAAGTCTGGAGAGGATTGGTCAAGAAAAGATGAAGGATCCACGCCTGCTGGCCTTCTTTTATTGAGGAGACTCTGAGTAATGGGAGAAATACATAAAGAAAACTAAAACCTACACCCCAGAGACTACTTGATTTACATAATGGAATGCTAAGGAAGAGGAGAAGAAATGCTAAAACTATATATGCTAGGATGGAAGACTGTGCACGGAGAGAGAGAGAGAGTTTGGAGTTGTTGCAGGGTAGAAAAGGAAGGAGATTTTGAAAAGGGTGGTTGTGAGTTTTGAATCAGATCCCATGTAATGTTCTTTGAAATAAGTTCCTTGTTAGCTTTAAGTGGGGGCTGGACTATATTCCTTTCAGTGCAACTTCAGTTCTAGACTGGGCTACGTGAAGCCCTGATATGTACTAGGATTGCATCCAATCTATGAAGTCACTGTGAAGAGCAAAGAGAATATGAACATTTTTCTTTGCCAACTATCAAACAAGCATTACAATTCTGTCCCTCCACGTGCTGCCACACATGTGCACATGCAGACCCTCATACCTGCCAAATCCGTGACAAGGAAGCTGCCATTTGTCCACTGATACAGCCAGTGCTGGAAGGTGTGGCATTTTTGCATGACCTCAGAACTAGTAGATGCTTCTGGGGCCCCAGGAGAGCCCCATTCCCGGGAACAGTAAGATTCCAGGGGCTTCCCCAGGTCCTCCTCCAGCGTAGCATATGGGATGTTGTTTGCAGGCCGGTAGATCAGATACAGTGGGATGATCCTAAACATAGTTTCATAGTGCAGTGAGCAGAGAGCTGTATCCCAATTCTCCATCCCAATTCTACACCCTGGATCTACAAAGAGATCCCTTCCAAGAATGTGATTCTCAGCTCTGAGCCCGAAGGACAGCAGACGAAGGGAACTCTACCCTGAGTCCAGGAAAGGAATTGGACGCCATTGGCATCAGAGTCCTGGCCATTCTCTGAGGTCAGTGGAACTGGACATGAACTCTGTTGTGGCTCCATGTGGACTCTGTGTTGAGGTGAGGATCTGAGATAAGCATGTGTCAGAGAGGAATACCTCCAGAGAGGCCTCAGCCAAGCACAGCTCAATAGCAGTCAGACCCCAGATACTCAGAGTATGACAATGATCATCATTGGTCTCTGAGTCCTACAGAAATCCACACCAACCTTGACTGCCTACCACAGAAAAGCATCCAATCCCCATCACTTTCAGAGAGGCCCAGAATCAGCAAAAACACGGCTAAAAGGGATGAGGATTGGAGAAGACTAGAGATCAGGCCACAGCCTTTTCCAATGTGGGCAGTGAATCTTTAGGTCTGTATTTCTAGAGTTTGAGCTGAGCATAGGGGTAGCTGGGGACCCATGTGCCCATGGTCATAACTCAGGAAGCTCAGGAGATTGTGCAATCACTGTTCTTGGTGGAAGCTGAAGGCAGCATACTTCCTGTGCACTTACTCAGGGACATCCCCAAAGCCAGGCACAGCCCGAGCTTCAGCCCCAAAGATTTTGCAGTACTCCCGACTCATGTTCTGGATCTTGCATCCCTGTGGATTATAGAGAATCAAATCAGATTAACAAAGAACTTCCCAGCTCTTTATTGTGCCAGGCTATGCTAAGTGTTAAATGGGAAGGCCACCTGCTAGGGATCTGCAAGGAGGAGTCTAGCTCTCAGGGTAGAAGGGTGTTCCCAAGTCCCTGCTGCTCGTATGCTGTGCCTCCTTTTTCTCACTGGTAAAACAAGCGGCCTTGGACTTCTGAAGACTGAGGTTTTCTAAGCGGTTTCTAAACCGTGTCCCCTGGAGTCCTAAGGGTAGTGCCCAAAGAACCACCTTGTGAAGAACAAGAAATAGGTTGAATGTGCAGACCATTTATCCCACTCACAGTCACTCCTCTTTAGCCTTAGCTCCAGGAGTCCTGGTGTGGTGCTGCAGGTTAATGTGCTGGACTGCAAGGTCGGTTTGAACCACAAGGTTGGTGGTTCAAGCTCACCAGCCGCTCCTCGGAACTCTATATAGTGTTGCTCTAAGTCGGAACTGACTTGACAGCACTTAACAACAACAACAAAGGAGCCTCCACGGAGTCGTGGTAAGCACTGAGCTGCTAATTGCAAGGTTGGTGGTTCAAACCCACTATGAGGCTGTCTGCTCCCACAGTCTCAGAAATCCTAAGGAACAGTTCTGCTCTGACCTGTAGGGTCTCTATGAATCAGGGGTATAAGGTCTCCACGCAAGATTACGTTTGGGGGCGGAGACCAAATGGCTTTGGTTCTCTCCAGTTCTCTGAGGCCAAGCACAGTATCTAGATTCTGGGTTATGTCTTAGTCTCTTTCCAAGGTCAGGCTGAGGCACCTCATACAGTTGAGACTTCTATTTCCATTTCCCAACATGACCCAGGCTGGGAAAGGGGAGGAGTTGAGAAAGTAGAGGGAGAGGGAATGGGGACAGGACGCAGTACCTGGATGGTGACGTCATAGTTTCTGCCCAGGAGAGACGTCTCACTGCTTGGCCCAAACACAAGCAGGCTGGATACCTTGATGATGCAGGTTCGGCCCGACTCGAAGATAGGTTCCAGTCCATAGATGACCTTGGCCTGGGAGGCCTTCTGAAGGCCACACCCACGTCCACCCCCTCGGAGCTCCTCGCTCACCAGGCGCCCAAAGAGCTTGTCCCCCCAGCAGCCAGAATCAGCCAGACCCTTAGCAAACACCATAGGGGTCATCTCAATCTCTTCTCCAACTAGAGGGGAACAGGAGAAATGTAGGAAAATAGAAGCTCCTACCTGACCAACGTGAGGGTGCACAGAGCAAGAGAGAGAGGCAGAGAACAATCCCCCACTCTGCCAACCTGGTACTCTAACTTTCTGCACGTTGAAATCCTACCAGACTGGGAGGGCAGAAACAATCTGATATGATCCCTGTCATTTAACAGTGCTTGTGTGATACTTGTCACATGGTAAGTGCTCCCCAACTGTTTGTGGAAGGCAGTGGTTGTGTGGGCTAGTGGCAATCAGTATGGAATATCGAGATTACTTTGTTTTAGAATTATGTGTTTTGATCAAATGTTTAAATGATTCCAGCTCAACCAACACATTTGACTGGAACAAAAAGTTGGAGGGCCAACCCAGCGGCAATGAGCACCCCTAGTGCTCAAACTATGATCACTAAGTACCATTTCCCACTAGATGGAAGCACACCTGCCTAAAGAAATGGCTGGTTTCAGATTCAGGACAGGAGGTGTAAGAGATGGAGCCAACACAGCTTGTCAAACCAGAAAGCAACGAAGCTATCAAATACTATTGGTGTCTTATCTATGGATCCAGGAGCCAACCTGAAGGAATAGGAGGCAAAAGTAAGACAGACTTAACAACATAAACAACAATAATCACAATGTATTGAATACATCCAATATGTTCAAGGGATTGTGGTGACTCTGTAGGATAAGGACTAGACTACAAACCACAAGGTCAGTGGTTCAAGCCCACCAGCTGCTCCTTGAGAGGAATATGAAGCTTTCTGCTTCTGTGAAGATTTACAGCCTCAGAAACCTCCTACAGAGCTGTAATTAATCAGAACTGACTCAACAGCACTTAGAAACAGCACCACCACCATGTTCAAAATACGTCTAATTGTTTTTCAAACCAACCTTCCGTCCAAAAAATGAAAACACAAACCTCATTGATCTCTTTTGAGTGACACTAGATTACCAAGTCAACACTTTGACATCTAGGAAATGAGGGGGTAGAATCAAATAGTTATGTTTCATTTCCTGCTGAAACTGTATCAGGGTAACCAACTAATTCTTTATAGGAAATTTTTAGCTAGTGAATAAAGAAGAAAGGACAAAAAAAAGTTTCTTCATGTTGCAATTCCTAATGAAATAATGGATTTAGGCTGTAATCATTGGCTTATAAAACCATTAGGTAGCTTTGGAGATGAGGGGATTTTTAAAGGATAAGAGAGACAGATCACATCTAGATAAACCCAACAGCCAGCCTTACTATTAATAAAAGTAAACCAATCAGACTGGGATGCAAAAAGAACACAGTGCACACCTGTGATATATTCTTGATGCAAAAAAAGAACTGGAATCTAACCAAGCCTCTAGATCCAATAACCAGGTTAGCAGGTTAGAGGAAGCCACGCATAAAGTATGTAGGAACATGTTAAATGGGGCTCTAGGCAACAAAATCTAGAATGCAAGAAATTCTACACATTAAGTGACTTCGACAAAAAAAATGACTAGGAGAGAGAAACAAATGAGGGTGGGAGAAGTGCTGTATATTAAAAGAGGCTTAAGAAATAGATCAATCAGAAGCAATGAATAGCTCCTGATTCAAACTCAGTGTGACCACAGGGAAAATCTGACTGGACCTTTTTAGATGTGGAGCTATATTTAATACTGATCACATTCAATTTGCTAACTGAACAAGTGTGTTGAACAAATGAAGGAACTGATACATTATTATTGTGGCACTGCAGGATGATGCACAGGACCGAAAGGTCTGTTTGAACTGCAATCTCATTGGTTCAAACTCACCAGACACTCCTTGGAAACCCTATACAGGGTCACCATGAGTCGGAACCAACTTGAGGGCACTTTAACAACAACAGCAGCATAGTAAATGGAGCTCTCAAAAGCCTTCCATCACTGGCTGATTTCTCAGTCTCAAGCTTTAGCGTGTCTCTTGTATGTACGGTACAGATGGTTCTTCTACTAATGCTTGAGCCTCTACAATGCTTATCAAACTTTGGAGTATTTCAAAATCACCAGGGAGCCTGCTGAAAATGTCATTGTCCTAGGTCCTTCCCCAGAGACTGTGATTAAGGACCCCAGAAACTGCATTTCTAACAGACTCCCTGTGTGAAGCTGAGGAAGGAGGTCCACAGACCACTCAGAAACTCTGGGTAGGAAGATGTCAGGGTAAGAAGGCATCCCAGTGGTCACACCTGCCCTTGATCAAGGCTCCACTATGGACAAGGGACTCAAGGCTGAATTAACTCCTTGCAGAATGCCTCCTACTCCCAATCTCTTTTTACGTCCAAAATCTTCTAAAACATTCGTCTCCCTCCATCATACTTCCCAAGACTTATTCTAAACTAGGAGGCAAAGGGTAGTTGTACATGAATGCAAACATGTCATCATGGAGCAGATGTTAAAGCCCTTCAAAAAGGTCCTCCCTGGTCCCTGGGACCGTGAAGGGAGAAGAGCAGAGAGTAGGACCCTATCCAGAGAAGCAGTGATG